AAAGCTCACCTGGTGTCGGAAATGGCAAATGGCTTAAATAACTCAAAACACTGTAATGTACTTTTACGTAAAACGTGTGCGACGACATTCTCATATAGCATTGATGTGTAACTGGTTCGAAAATTTTGAGTAGACATGCACGGGGATAAATATTTGTATTAAATTTATAAGATAACGACATACGGGTTTTAAAATGTCCCTTCCGGTGTACTGTTCTTCGAACTAAAACTATTCCTGTTTGTAAAACATTACTACAGCAAATTTTAATTTATAAACATTTTGCCTGGGATTTCTTCAATTAACAAGGTAGAAAATATGTACACAGGTTGAGGTTTATATACAAAAAATATGATACGTTAAGCTCTTCTTGGGCATCATTACGACCGCCAAATGTGCTCGCACCGAGAAACAAAATAATGCCTATAAATTAATCGTAGATTTCATTTTTTTATGCTTAAGCACCGATAAAACTCGATACTATCAAACGCATCATGTTTTCAGGTCCACTAAACAGAAACCTTGACAGGCATGTTATGTTACAAAGTACCAAGTTAGAGGGGACACATTCAAATATTTCGTTTAATTCTAATATCCATTCTTGAATTTAAAAGAAAAAAACATTCCCGCATTATTAACGAAGTTTCAAACATGTTGTTCTTTGGCATTCATATTGGATGTTCATATAGTTTAATATCTTGTATTTATCTTGATATCTTTTATGTACATGTCCCCGGTAAGTGCCCATTGAATGCGAAACAGCCTCATCACTCATATGCACCAAATCATATTTTGTAGATAAGTCCGTTTATCTACGGAAAGTGTAGAGCCACGCCTGCGGAGTAACCCCCTTTCAAAGAACTAAAGCACCTGGCCATGTTCGGTTTTTCAGCCGGCGCCAGCCTTTTGGCATAACGCGCGAAACATGAACTGGTGTATTCAAAAATACACCCATAGCTGTTAATCAAAAAAGCTCTATCTTTCGTCTGACCTAAACATGGACAAATCGCGAAGGCTACAAGCGCGAGAGAGTAGCTTTGACTGGTGATCCCGTTGCATGAGCGCTCGTGCAGCCGAGGCGCGTTCCAATGCATAGAGCTCGCACTTCTAGCCTTTCCACTTTGTCCATGTTTAGACGAGGCGAGTGTAACACGCCTCCTAATATTAATTTTGCTATTCTTTCTCAGGAAGCCTCTATACCAAGAGAGTAGCCGTCGCTTCTCTAATTTCAGCCAGAAAAACAAGGAAAGTTGTCCGGCCCGGCGGTAATCTAAAACGACGTTCGCGTCATCTCTCGCTTCTGTAGATTAGGCGCGATGTGCTCACTCGGGAGCATTGTGCTCATTCGAGCCCATCCTTAAGAGCGTCCAAGGTCACTCGCGATGCGATGCACATCCGCCTTCAAAGCTGTTCTCAGCCTCTCTTACGAAACGCCAAATGCCATATTTTAGAGCTCTCTCGAAGGCGTGCTAATCGCCGGCTGACGGCGGCGGTTAAGCCGAGTAGACAGAGTTGATTTGCGTGGGGCCACGTCGAAGTAATATATGGAAATACTTTATACCTATTCCTATCCGAGTCCCCGCTACCCCAAAGATGCCTGCCCTTTGGCTTGTATATGGAAGACACAGCGAGAGCCAGCGTAACGCGTTACTTGTAGCTTGTTCCTTCTTCGGTGTTCAAGTAACTATCTGCGTTAAATTTTGTTGTGCGGAAAGAAAACGAGAAACACAATTGACTTACTTGTCCGCACATTTTTTTTTATTTTTTTTTTTATTATTTTAATTTACGTGCTGCCGTCGCCGCGGCAGCTTCCGCAACAGTAATCTTTACCGAGAAACGTATCCGGTGAGCGCTGCGTGCTCCGCATTGTTATCAGGAGCGTATTATTACCAATTATCTAGTTCGGATGCTTGTTTCGGTGCTTGTACTTTATCAAAACGAATGCTGTGCTGTATTTCGTATGAGTGATATGTTATTTTCGCTTCAATCGCTGAAGGTTTTCTTTACCGTGAGGACGACGACACGAAAAAATTCCAGAAATCCCACCCATGAGTGATATACAGCATCGCTGTGAAAACGGTGCCAACGTTTACAAAGTTTCCCAGTACATCGCCGCACATAGTGCCATAAGCGTCAAATTCGTGCAAGTGCTTCACCTAATTGTTGCTCGCAACACTGAGAACAAAACGAAAATTATCGGTGTTTGTTTGGTTAACCTTTAATCAGTTTGCTCTACTCTCGTACGGTACCAGTGTTTCCCGACTTCACGTCGACCACATGCTACTCCAAATTAAAAATAGCAGCGCTTTACTTTTGAGATCGTTCCTGTTTTAGTAAAAAAGTACGTAAAGAGGCACGCACTTTGTGATTATATGGCAAAGTATAAGAAACGGCACTCGGTTACGTTTTGTAACTCGTACATGGCTTAGTACCACTTAGTAGAGCACACCTACATTGGCTAAGGCCCCTGCCAAACGTTTGTAGAGTCTATCGAAAGGGAATCAATTTCGACTCTTATCCGAACTGGTAGTTATTAACGTAGAGTATACACCAGCTCATGTTTACAAACAAACCGGAGCGCCCCTAGCGGACGCCATCGGCGCCGCGCATGCGCGCTGGGGGTGTGGGCAAGAAGCTCGCCGTCGCCCATGAACAAACCATTGGAATGCGATGTTGTCGGCGTCCGTGTGAGTCCCCCTGCCCTTTTTCGCGTTCGGATTGTTGATTCTATGTCTTCCTGGCGATGTCTGACTACTTGAGCGGCGTCAGCGAAATTACCGAGGCTTGTTACACCGCAAAATTCGCATGAATAATGTGACATGTGGCGATTCATTACGCGTGGACGCCGCAGTACGTACGCTAAACCCTGATTCGCATGATGCGATTTCGCTCGCAATTTTCAGTCGCGATGCCTCTCGGGCTGCAAAAGCGTGAACCGTAGATGAGATGGTCGACGTCGATACTGAAAATCGCAAGCATAATCGGACCAAGTGAATTAGAAATAACAAGTCCGTGATTTTCACTGGTAACAATGATCAATATCTCCTTGTATCTACTCTTTACATTGAGCCTGCTTACTCACCTTAAAATTTATGTCTTTTGAGGCCTGCACTTACTTCTTATCGCAAGTACTGGGGCAACGTTTGGTCTACGGGCCGGCGTCGTCTAAGAGAGCATACGACAAGCAGAAACGTTTGAAAGAGCAGACGACAGTTCGAACAATCAGGCCGCTGTTTGAACTTGAAGACGCACTGAACGTAGTACGCACAACTTGGCGGTTTTCTAGCGTTCATGTTGGAACAAAACAAATAAATCTAATGACCACAAGTATCCGTGAATTCAACCTAAAGTACTCCCGCCCCAGCAATTGTCGTCCGACGACGTCTGTTTTTCCCTTTTCACGGCACATATCCAGATTCTCTGAAGAACCGAGCACGTTAAAACTGGCCTTCAAACCTTTCTCGACACTTTTGGTACGGGCCCAGTCGCGGCGTTTTGACGAGAAGGCAGGTTTTTGTCTAGTTCCTATCAAAACAACGCAGGAATACACGTCTGGCATGGGGACTTCTGCCCACAGCCCCAGACCGGAAGTTCGACCGACGCGCCACCACCGCGCGGTGACGTCACAGAGATGAGTTGGTGTATACCCCTAAGCGTTTCTCCTCCGCTCCGCACCGCACCCCTCGCACCCCCCCCCCCTCCCCCCCCCCTCCCCCCCCCCCCCCCCCCCCCCCCCCCCCGCAAAAGTATCACGACAAAACTAAGGTTCAGCCGCTTGACTTATCAGGACGTAAGCACGTGCGGCGACTATACTCCGTTCTCGCCAAGCTGAGAGAGCGGTGGAGGCTACGTCCTCGTTAGACCAGTCATACGCCTCTCTTTCGGTACGTCATCACGCTCTTGCCCTTACCCACGCGCAGAGAGCCCGGTCAGGTGATAAGAGGGAGGCGGCTGATTGGTTCGGCGGGAACGTAGCTCCCACTGCAGTCTCAGCTTGGTCATGAACGGAGTATAGCACCTAAAGCTCCCTGCGCGACCAGAAACCGTTCTGCTTGGGGAATTTAAGCAAGTTCCAATACCAAATAGAAGAGAAGGCCTGCGCCTTTCCTCCCAGAACGTCATGATCCACGCAGCGCCACCTAGCTGGCATCAGCATCGCCGCCAGAGCGTCTCGCAGCGTCTCGCAACAAGCGCGACCCTTGCACTATGCGACACAAAGACGGACGCGTCTGCCACCATGCGGTGACTCTATAGGTTCAGCAGGTTTGCCGCTTGGGGCAGGTAGAAGATTTCCGAACAAGGACGTCATATGCAGGCCATGCCTTTAGGTACTAAAGGTTACGCTCCCCACGGGTTCTCTTTTATTTATTCATAATTTTTTTCCTCGTGTCTTTCTATTAATAAATGCCAGAAATTATTTTATGCCATTTCTATTAAAATATTTTGCTACATCAATTGCTTATTTTAATTTATCTATACTGATTTGTTTTCTACATTTGTAAGCTAATGCACCCTGCTGCAATGAAATTGCACCGAAGACGAGTAAAAATGACGACGTCTGCTTCTCTTCATTTTTGGCTTTTATTGTCAAGCGGAAATAATTCAATATTATGCGTTTGATTGATGGCACTCGACTACTAAAAATGTCTAGATAAGTGGAGCACTCCTCCGTGCTTCTTACTATACTTCATTTCATCTTACGTCCCGACGCAGCCGACGCTACGAGCTGATGGGACCATTCAGACAACTTCTAAAGCGATCATCCTAGCGTTCGTCAGGTTTTTTTTACGTGCTATCTCATTTTTGAACCAATCATAAACAGAAAAAGCCTAGTGACTTGCACTTTTAACGCTACTTGATCGGTACCATTAACTCGTACCGTCGACTGGCACGACGGCGCACTGTGTTCGAAAGAACGTGGCGAAGATACCATGGAACAATATCTATGCAGAAGCTTCCTCGAGTACGAGGGAACAGAAACAAAACCAAACAAAAACACTGACCAGTGAGGCTCATGTCGAAGGACTCGGCGTCAATCTTCCTCAAGTCCTGGACAGTCCTCCAGGTCAGCGTGACCAGCTGGTTCTGCGACAGGTCCACGGTCACAAGGTTGGGAGCTCCCATGAACATGTGCGCCGGCAGGACGCGGAGCCGGTTGAACGAGAGGTACACGATGGTCAGGTGCGGCAGACCCTCGAAGGCCAGCGGATCGACCTCGGAGATCTCGTTGTACTTGAGATCGAGCTCCACCAGGGACGACAAGCCGCCGAAGACCCGGGCTTCCAGCCTCTTCAGCTTGTTTCGAAACATGTCGAGCCTGAGGACCCGCGACAGGCCCTTGAAGCTGTGCTCGGTGAGGGCCTCGATAGAGTTGTCGCTGAGGTCTAGCTCTTTAACCTTGCCGAAGCCCGTGAAGGCAAAGTCCTCTATGACCGTCATTTTGTTCCGCTCCAGAAACAAGTGCGTCAGAGACGGTAGGTGAGACAGGGCTCGCGCAGGCATCTTCTTTAGCTTGTTGTCCGCCAGTTCCAGCTTCTTGAGGCGAGGCAGATGCGAGATGCAGTCCGTCTCCAGTTCCGTTATCTCGTTAGAGTCGAGGGACAGCACAGCCAGTTTCGTCAGGTTGTAGAAGGCGTGTGTCTTCAAAACACCCAACTCCGCCTGGGAGAACTTAAGACGCTCCAAGACAGCAGCATGTGGCAGGACGCCGGAAGGAACAAACTTTAAGTGATGGTCCTCACTGAGCGAACTAAACACGATCGAGACGATGGACGGCTGCTTCACGAGGGCTTTGAAGACGATGTCGTCTTCGGCGATGTCTTTCACCACGTAGCAAGTCACTTCGGTCGCGTCATCAGTGATATCGTCCGTGTCGCAGCGGCAGTATAGCGCTTGGTCGATGAGATTGCAGAGGTTGGGCACGAGGTCCTCGGCTTCTGACGCTCCCGCTTGGAATGTTGCCGTGAGGAAGATTAGGAACAGCGTGAGATACCTAAACCAAAAGAAAAGCGGAGAAACTGTGAGCTTCACGTGATTATCCAATAAACTCGATTAGTAAAACTGCGGATACAGTACAGTTTATAAGGTACCGTAGAATTAATGCTGATTCTTTGTTTAGATCAGTCTCGAGTGCATTATATTCATATAGTATTTTAGATATAATTGTATATACGCTCTCAGAAGTCCCTGAGCGTACGCTTCTCCACAATGATCTCGAAACACAAGAGCTATCAATCAGCGCGCTAAAGGCCATCCAAACAATTTCGGTCAGTGACGCGTCTTTACTCTTACCAATTAATGACAACACAATCCACATATACGACTCTGGCCCGCTCGGGACACGGGTGATAATTACCGAGTGCTTACAGTACCTCCCGCTAAATGATCATGTTGGTCAATGACGTAATCAGTCGGTGGTGACAAGCTCCCTTCCCTTAACGCCCTTCACCTTTTCCACTTGGTGGAGCAAACATCGGAGAGGAGGCGGGTCCCTCCTCGCCTCGTCACAACACTCCTCCCCGGCGTTCGCTCAACACCTCCTAGAGAAGAAGGCCATAGCGCTCCGAGAGGTTTCGTCACAATGGCGGAGGAAGGAAGTCCATGGCGCAACTACGTGAGAACACGCTATCGACGCGAAAAAAATGTACCTTGACAAGCGGCGCGGTGGTGTTCATGCGCGTTTATTCGACATTAATATACGTTTTAAAGGCGCCAGTCTTGTACAATTTATTATATATATAATATAAACGTAATATACAACACGTTACAAGGTTGAGAGTACCAAATTTATATTTATGCGCATCCCCGTAACCGCGGGACTACGTGCAGTTCTGCAGCACCCCACACTTTTCGAAAGGACCAGCTGCGATGCTGCCGATGCCACATGGCTCCGATTCTGGTAAATTTACGTTGTGTACTGTCTGAAAAGGAACGCTGAGACATCTCAGAAGGCAAGGAAACCGAAAAGAAATCCAGTCATTCTCCCAGGGAGCGCACACCAGCAAGAGATGGGTCGACAACGTTAAGCCTTTCGTCGCCGCTGCTCTCGTGTGTGGTACTTTTAAGACTTGTTTCCCGTCGTATTTCTGTCATCACCGTAGTCTAGGGTACTTTTTGTTTTTGTGTTCGCTTGATACTACGGCATTTACGTGGATTCGTGAAACAAGTCCTGCTACGGTTTGAGTGACATGTGCGACAACTAGCCAACGAAGACTGGTCGATTAATCGATAGACCTCTCTCGACAGAGAGAGGCTTCTTGGAGTTCGTGTTCAAATGTGTTCGTCACGGATATTGTGAGACGTATGGATACGATCGACAGGTGAGAAACAACTTATTTACGGGCTTTCTTGGTCATGTAGGACGCAAGTAAAATGCTGATATCGTTTTTTTTTATCGTTATTCGTGTGCAGTTGCGTCGACATTTGTAAACATGCGCGCTAATCTAGTTTTCACTGGAAGGTGAAAAACAAGTTTCTATGATTATTGAAAGTGCGTTGTTTGTGGTTCTGTGTTTATTTATACTAAAGTTATTTTATTGCCTTTACCGCGTTTATACTAGAATCTTAACTGTATTAAGGTAATAGTATTATTATATACAAAATAAGTTATGTTTTGTTCTAAGGCAGCTCGAGCCCATTAGGGAGAAGTAAATTAGTAGACTAAGTAGTAAGTTTAGTACCCCTGCCACACGGCAAAGTTAATATATTTTCATTCAGTGATATAGGATTTAATCAGCTCGCGGTCTTGAGTGATTATACGAGCGCTGCAAGCGGATTTGCCGACCCCATGATGTCATTCGATCGAAATTACATCAATTTTGCCATGCGGCCGGGGTATGATGCAAGAATTCAGTGACTGCACGCGATAACGTCACTTAAATGATCGTGAGAAACACTTGTCTTGCCTTGTCCACGTTGACTACGTCTACCTGATTTTTAACTGTTCTGTTTTGCTGTTTCCAAATAACTGCGTGTCTCGCCATTTTGTCGAAGTATTTATGTATAAAATATGCATTCCTACAACAATAATTGCATGACTCAATGTTTTCGACTTAAAACAATCACACGTCTTATACGCATACCTCGTGCCATTTCGTACCGATTATTCAGCGGTGTAATATTTGGCTCGTGTAAAAAGACGTTTTCTAGACCCGTTGCTATGTGCAGCTTTCATTTTAGCTAATATGACACGCGTATGTGACTAAAAACGCGTTACGACGGTCGATCCACGCGCGTTGCCTTCGCTTCGACGCGCGCCCCCGATGGCCTTCCCTCGCGACGTCACGAGTAGAGCGCTACGGCCTTGTCTTCTAGGAGGTGTTGGTTCGCTCCTCTAAAATGGAAAGCTTAGCGGGAAGAGCTTGCCCTGCTTTTTTTAACTTGCAACAGGGTATGGTGCCGTTGCTGCATACGTCTGCTGGTGTTTTGATCGCATGGCGCGCTAGTACACACCAAGGAGCTTCTGAAAGGAAAGAGTAAAGTTGACGTTCGGATCTGCCTCTAACAATTTATTCAAAGAAACTTCGAACTTCTTGGAATCTGTTGACAATGGGCTGTCACTTCGACACAACATTCCTATGAAGCACTATGAAATATTTTGTTCGAACGTACCAAGAATGAACACGTACCCAAACACATTCCCTGCAAAGTTCAGACGCGATTGAAGTGTTCTTTATCCCTGTCGCGCCAGTTTCATTCGCTATCATATCTTCAAATTGTTTTTGTATTATATTTTATCGGGGAAACGTATACTGCACGTAAAGAAGAGTTTCACGATTGTGAAAACAATTTAGCATAAATGCGCCTTTCAAACTTCCATCCCTCCACCCACACGTCATTCCATATCCCGAGTAAATTCGTGTTCTACCGCGTCAGCCTCATTTTATTATTTGCAAGGAAAACTGTATTGCCTTTTTAACCTTTCTCGGCAGCCTTCCTGACGGCAGTCAAACGCCGCTTTCGCGGGCATGAATGTCGAGGAATGCAGTCTCTCCTGGCAAGAAGACAGCTTCTTTGAGACGCCCTACTGGCTTTGTTCCAAACGTCGTAAAGATTTATCGAATCCCTCTTCGGCGAGCCGGGGCAGTTTTCTAAACCTTCCAAATTTTTCCCCAAGCTGGGCCCCGTACCGCCTTCGCTAAGTGAGTGAGCGACGCCGTAAATCTTGCCGTGATGAAAAGTGGCGCATCCCGAGATGCAAAGGATGAAGTGAAACTATTCGTTTACGACAGAGACATAAATTAGGCGTCGCGCTATAAAGTACACGCTGTAATCTGGTTATACAAGTCAGACGCACAAGCAACTGCTTTCTCATAAATTATGACCTTCGTTACGAAGCGGAAGATACTTTCGAAGTTCCTCGCATCTATGACAGCTAAAGCGACTGCATGTGGGCCTGAAGCTTTTAAACTTACATACGCATAAGATGTGTCCAAGGTTATTGGCTCTGCATTGGTGGAGCGCTTTAAATGTTTCCTCTCTGAAAGGTCGATCAGCAAATCTCTCAATCTCTCATCCGTAAATTAAAATATTGATTTCGTCTTTCAAAAATATTCCCCCAAAGATTGACCGGTACCTTTTTTTTATCATTCATTATTAGAATTTACTAATACCCCGGGAGTTGCTAGATTGTTCCATTACCTCCGAAAACGATACCCGATAACAATACTGTCGCGAAGCCGTGATTGCGCGCGTGTTTAATTCACCTTTGTTTTTTTTTTGTTTTTTTTTTTTGTTTTCTCGCAGGTTTGCGAGGGTTTTTTTTTTCCAATGCTGGTCGTCTCTTCGGCACGGCGCATGGTTCCTACCGGAGTCTGGATGCCCCAAATGGGGGTGAGAGTGGGGAGGCCCCGGCGAACGTGAACGCTGTAACGGTACACTTATTATAGAGCCCCACGTTGGAGGTGTTTTGTCTTGTATATGTCTGCTTTTGAGATCTCGACTTGGGGGGTAGTTTTAGTTTTTCCCTGAGTATAACTGTTCTTGTGATCCTGGCTTCGAATATTATTGCTTTGCGTGTGCTTGTGAATTTTGGGATGCCCCTGTTTGTTTTGTAGTAAAAACCCTTCCATTAATGCTAAGAAAAAAATTGGTTGCCTAGATGGCCCCCGAATACTGCTAAAGTCGATATAAGCCGCCGCTAGGCTTTTGATCGTTACTGTGACAGTGGAGGCCAACCTGCACGTCCGACCACCTTTGGCAGTAGAGTCTTCCGCCCGCTAACTCACAAGCTTGCGACCCCTTATGGCCGTGGAGGAGTTCGGTTCGCCCCCCTTTGTGTGGATGCCTGTTTGTATTGTTGGGCTTATTGTCCGATTGTCTATTGTCAAAAATAATTCCAAGAGAAGGGGAACAAGAGGGGCAAAGGACAAGCACAAATCTCTAAACACAGTTACGTGACTGGTTCGCGGCCAAAACATTCCACCTGGACGGGGTATCGAACCCGGGGCCTCTCCATTTCAAAAGGAGCGCTCTACCAAGTGAGCTAACCAGGGATTACATGTCAGTAGAGCAAACAGATTTTACCAGCTGCCACCAGTCTAACGCGAACAAGGGTGAAATGCTTGCATTTTAAGCCTTGAATTTTAAAAGTTTTCTATGCAATTTTTGAATAGCCAGATATCTTTGTATCAAACAGATTCAATTAATTAAAAAAGGAAACCATTCAAGTTTTCTTCGTTACCATAAGGTGCATGGGAAAGGGGGCCAGAAGAGTGTGGGGTATTGTTATCGAAGTTATCGGGACGATCTACTAAATCTCCCTAATGCTAATAAACGAAGCGTATTATCGAGCACTCGTTTTTCTTTCTTTCTTAGTCAACAATCTTTGGGAGCCAGATTTTAGTATTTACTCTAACTCGCGCATATATATAAACAAACAGTAGGATACGAATCCCCTGCCTTAGTTTTTAAACATGACATGCACTTGACGTCCTCACGCTGCGCCAATGGTCATTCTGGATCATTCCTACTTGCCCTTGTTGAGAAAAACAA